AAAACTGAAATAAATAACAACTGAATTAACAAACTGACACTACTATAACTGAAACAAATAACTACACATGCTGTCCTACGAACACAGTGGGGACCACTGCTGTGGGGCCCACATCAGTGTTCTCTACACATACAGTAGTACGGGTAATGCCAACACATGGAACCCATATTATGTTACACCCATAAATAGTTATCTCCCTCTAATTGACCCATATAAATGAATAGAAAGTAATTACGGGAGAAAACATGGATCAATTAGAGACTAGAGAGTGATTTTAGGAAGATTTAGGAGGGGTTTTAAAGGGGGGAGAGAGAGAGAGAGAGAGAGAGAGAGATTTTAGGAAGATTTTTAGGTAATTAGGAAGTGGGGACTAATAGGAGCAATGAGAGCCTTGCTGATGTGGCCTAACGAGAGGGCTGGTAAGGGGTAATAGACAAAGGTTAGAGAGTGGAGGAAGTAGGAAAGGGGGAAGGGAGAAAGGAGAAGCATGCTGATGTGGACTACTTATGAAAATGTATCAAGCGGGTCAAGTGGTACCAAGTCCAACATAAACTATTTTCGGGTTACATTTTAGGTAAATTTGTGTTAATTTTTATTATTTATTTTCATTTTTACTATTTTCATTACATTTTATTAATTATATTACTCTTAATTGCTATGCACAGGCCTTGTTAAGTGACAATGAGACAGGAGTCTTAGGACATTTCTAATTGGGCCAAGTCGAACCCTATCCATTAGTATTATTATTGGGTTATGTATTGTCAAATAAATTATAAAACAAAAAATCTAGAAGGGGTCAGGGAGAAGGAGAGCTACTTTTTTATTAATTTAAATTTAAAATATTGTTTTAATTAAATTATGTTTTATTACATTGTATCAGTGTTTTAAAAGGCGTGGGAGGCATATGCCGAGAGGCGCCCCCAAAATGCCTTGAGGCATATGCCAAAGGCACTGACACCACTGAGGCGTACACCTCAGGTGCAAGCAAACACCTCGTACGCTTTTTCATGAGGTGTGCTAGAGGCCTACACCTCATGTAAAAAGACAAAAAAAAGAAACAAGAAAGAAAAAAAAAAGAGAAAAAAAGGAAAGGAAAGGAAAAGAAAGGGAAGGGAATGAAAAAGAAAGAAAGAGAAGTAAAAAAAGAGAAAAAGAAAAGGAAAGGAAAGGAAAGGGCAGAAAACATAAGGGGAAAGAAAGAGTGTTGGGGGCTAAGCCCCTGGATCCCTTGGTTGGGGCTTCACCCCCTAGCCCCCCCCCGCCTTCAACTAGTGCTATGCATCACCATCGTTCTTAATATAAAAGATTTTTATTAAAAATAAAGAAAAATGAGATCCTCCTTCCTCCACATCCCCCCCACCTCTTAATGAGGCTTATGCCTTTTACATTCTGAACTATGCCTCACGCCACTAGGTGGTGGAATGCCTTGCATCACGCCTCCGCATTTTAAAACATTGCTCTGTATCAAATTTAACTAATAAAATCATTTTTACTAAGTCTGTTAACAATTTTTTATTGTTTAATTATGTTATTTTTATTAATCATTTAAATTTTAATTTTTTTCAAATTTTATAAAATTAATTTTAGTAATTCCTGAGTAATTTAATAAAACTAAGTTATTATACTTATTTTAAGTTAATTGTGTAAAGTAAGTTGCTGACTTTAATTTTCTCTTATTTGTATTTTTCTGTTACTTTTGGTTTTCAATATTTTCTCAGTAAATATTACTTTTAATGTATTAAAATTTTCTGTTATTGTTTGTGAAACTTTCTCTTATTTTATCAATTAATTAAAAAAATAAGTTTCTAATATTTTTTGTTATCTTTTATGTTTTCAGAAAATTTCCCTTATTTTTCTGTTATCTTCCCTTAATTTCTTTTATTTGCTCTTTATATTTTCAGAATTGCATAACTAGGTCTAACCAGATTAGTCCAGTTCAGTATTACCAGTATGAACTGGTAACTGAAGCTAGCAGGTCGAATAGTTTTTAGGGATTCAAATAACCCGACCTATGAACTTTGTCTTCTCCTAGGAAATTAGCAAAGCTAGGGAAACAACCTAATCCAATTTTAAGTTCACTGCAATGGGGCTATAAGACAGGAAACTATTCATGTAGTAGTGAAATTTTCACATAATTTATAGACAAATTTTTTAGTGAATTTTAACAATTGTTTTTCAAAATATAGCACAAAAGTACTTTTGAATAAATTAATATTTAAAAAAACATGTTAATTAATGGTGTTTCTAATATTTATTTTCAAGACATTTTCTGAAAATTTATATAGCAAATTTGGCAGACCAAACCAGATCAATCAAGATTTGTTCAAATTGGTAAACAAAATTTTGTATTTTCTTAACCCATCTTCTTGCTATAGTGTTTGCCAAATTTCAGCATCAATACAAATAGTGACGTGGGGCCCAAAACATCCCGTGGAGAGAGAGAGAGAGAGAGATTTTATAATGACAATGTTAAATATTATTTATAATTATAATAAGATTTTAAATTAATTAGTATTTTTTTCTTTACTTTTATTAATTGTCTTATTGTATTATCTATTTTTTTCTAGTATTAGTATTTTAGATATTTTGTCCACATCTTATTTCAATATTTAAGTTTTAATTTAAACTTTTTTCAAAAAAAGTTTTAACTTAAACATTAATATTTTAATACATTGATGAAAAAATAAACGCATGTATTTGCATAGTGGATAGAGAAAGATATGGAAATAGATAGAGAGATATAGGGGGAGGGAAAGAGGCATACGGTTTAATGGACATGCGAAATAGAGAGAGAGAGAGAGAGGCAACCAAGGAGAAGCCTCGGTGGGGGAAGGGGAGAAATGAAAGGCCATCTAACGTGGTCAGTTTTGTTTTAATATATACTAATAGATGAACTTCCCAACATCTTTTTTCAGAAATAACTGAATCTATTCCATTATTAATGAAATGAGAATGTGAAAATGGGATGAGAAAACACACAGAGAAGGTCTTCTTTTTTGTAGCATGACCATAGTGTTGATCTTCCCGTGAACCACTTCCCAACAAAAGGCTCCTATTTTAGGTGGAATGGGTTTACACCAAACCTCTTTGAACAAAGAGAGTTGAGGTACAAAGAGACTTAAACAAGGAGGCACAAAAAGAAATGCCCTTTGGTTTGGGGGCCCAAATGCATTTATTTGGTTTAGAGGGGTCCAAACACATACTATCAAGAAGCTTTAACAAACCGAAGAAAGCAATACATCACCCCTCAGACCAAGGAAACTAAAATCCCAATTATGACCCACAGGAAGTAAAGGAGCAATGGATTTTGAAGGAAACTCATTCTTGTGAAAAGACACAAAGTACTAAGAAAGGAAAATGTCCTTCAGAGAACACCCAACCCAAACATCCTCCCAGAAATAGATTGAATCACTAAAACAAACATCATACCTGATAAATTTGAGAAAGTGATGAAGATTCAAGAATGCCATGAATAACCTTTTAAGGTGATGCAAAGTAGCCCGATAAGATACACCTGCATCCCAACCAGTACCCAACCTACCAAGAATATTGGCTACCACTACCTGCTAAAGTCTCTCTCTCTCTAATGGCCATCTCCATAACCATTTCCCTAACAAAGCCACATTCTTCTTCTCTACATTACCTACCCCCAATCCACCTTCTTGTAAGCCCTTGCAAACAACCTCCCACCTAACTAGAAAATCTTTCTTCTCTTCACTCAATTCCCACAAGAAGTAGCTCATGACTTTATCTTTCTTCCCCCTTCTGTAGAATCCTGAAAACTAATAGGTAATAAACTAGCAAATTTGCAAGTGTGGCTTTTATCAATGTAATTTTACACCTCCTCCCCCCCCCCCAAACGAAATATAATTCCTCTTCCAAACTGTCAATCTCTTTGCATACCACTCAAAGATTGGGTTTCAGAAGCTACTTTGTTTGACATTTGCCCCTAGGGGGAAACCCCATTAGGTCAAGGGCCAACTGGTGGTGCAACTATCTAGAGTGATTGCTATAAAATCAATCTCCCCCTCCTGCAAATTGAGCCCTGAATGCAACTCTTCTCAAGATTGATTTTCAAATTTGAGACCAATTCAAAGGTATCCTTCACAAAAAATTATTATACCATTAGAAACTAAGGTGGGTAATTGGAATGTCGTTTCTACTTACCCTTCAACCCCTAATCTCCTCCCTATCAACCTCGGATATTAATCTGCTATAAACATCAACTATATGGAGAACAGATTACCTTAAGCCTCTACACGCCAGAAAAAATCTCTAACCACCCCATTAACTAATATGGAGAAGTAACAAGATTTGATACACCCAAGCATCCAATCCGCTACATTCCATTTCCATCTTTCTAGATACCTCAAAGTACATCCATAAGGGTTGCAATAAAAACTGGTTCCTTCACCCTGAGGAGACAATAGAGATCTCGTAGAATACTGCACCACTTAGGAATAAACCAGGCCATGCTAAAGGAATTAAAATATAACACTAAATTTGGGGGAAATTGGACTATGAACAAAGATGCACAATTACCCAATGTGCGTTCCACTTATGTAAGACAACAAATTTCCTGCACTATATCATATATTACAGGTGCTTATCTTGTTATGCAACACCTGCAACCAAAAAGCATCAATTCTTGGTGGAGCTATGGAATCATTCAAACTTTAGTATCGAGGAACCACTACATCAACAATTGATTTTCTTTTCCTTTTTTCTAAAAGCAACAATGAGATCTTAGTATGATGAAAAGGAGGGCTGGAACCCAAAACCATTAATACCATTAGTAAAACAACCTGAAGATCAACCCAACAAGTATTTAGGATCCCCTTAGTAATTCAAACATTAAAATCACAAACATAACTATTTGTGGATAACTTACTGTATGCTTATATTGGAAGATAATGGCATCAACTATCCCTTCATTATTAGTGGAAACAAGGCTTGGGGAAACCAATAAAAAGGAGAATGAACTTTTCATACATGGACAAAGCAGTACACCACGGTTGCATAAAGTGATCCATATGAGGTGAAACAAGATCTGGACAGACCCATGCAAGCCTACCAAGAGTAATGGCACTATTTTCTACAAGCGATTTGTTGAGACCCTGGCATCAATAACCATGAAAATGATAAGAACATTCAGGAAGAATAGTACCAACTGATGCAACAACAGAAGAGTTATTACCTCTGCATTTTTAAGAATTGGAACTAGGCATTCAACAACTCTCAATGCAATAGGAGATATGTCTTGCTGAACCTGAAATTTGGGAGTAATGAAAATGCTCAAAAACTATTACTGTCATACTAATTAAGACTCCAAAATTAACCCCATGCAGATGATTAAACTTCACATTAAAAACATGTAAATATAACTATATAAGTCTCATAACATGAATGAATGTAAATTATGCTCAAAGTCCTTTTTCCATAACAAAAACATTTTTCTTATAAAAATAATTAAATAAATATAAAGGATGAGAATTTACAACTTACAATTCCATTTTCTGGCATCACATGTAACACAAAGGAAATTTTACTTCCTAATTTGCTCCTCATAAAATCTTTAAGCAAAAGTAAAGCAGAATAGTACTTGGTGGTGTAAGAAAGGTGTTTGGAAATGTAATGAGTTGTACATTTCTGCTTATCTTTCCTCACAGCAATGGGTAGGTCAAGGTCTGGGAAGGAAGATAATGGAGATGGTGTAGGACCAATCCTCTCTTCAGTGATTGGAAGCACCTGAGACCACAACTGGAGGTGGGGGAACAACCTGTGCATACCTTTTTCTTTGCCTCCAATAAAAAAGGAGGGCTTGCAGGAGAAGGAGGAGGAGAAAGAACAGGAATTGGAGAGCTGGGAGGAGAAGAGGACCCCTTTACGGGAATAGAAGGGACTATAGAGGGCTCAACAAAAAGGTTCAACACAACTTCACAAGGTTCAAAGCAATGTTTTAAAACACAGAGGCCTAACGCAAGGCGTTCCACTCCCTAGAGATGTCAGGCGTAGTTCAAAACGTAAGAGGCGTAAGCCTCCTTAAGAGGATGGGGGATCTCATTTTTCCTTTATTTTTAATAAAATTCTTTTATATTAAGAAGAATAAAGATGCATAGTACAAAAAACAAATTGGGCTGCTACATGGAAAAGGGGGGCGGGGGGGTGAAGCCCCCTAGCCAAAGGGGCCGGGGGCAGACCACTTTCTTTCCCCTTATCTTTTCTTCCCTTCCCTTTCCTTTTCTCTTTTTTTTTTTCTTCTCTTTCTTTTTTTTTTTTTTTTCTTTTGAGAAAAGTTAACTGAACTCATTAAGAAAAAAGAGGGATACACAAAGAGGGTGTACAAAGAAAACAAACAAACGGGGATCAAACCCCTGAAAGTTACACAGGAGAGATCTCATCAGAGTACAGCACTTCTAAAAGAGCACCTAATTTTGCTAACCTGTCTGCAAGAGCGTTAAAATCCCTTGGAATCCAGCACAGATGAACGTTTGTATTTTCCAGTAGGTCCCTTGCTTCTTTTCTTTCTTTCTTTTTCTTTCCCTTCCCTTTCTTTTCTTTTCCTTTCCTTTTTTTCTTTTTTTCCTTTTTATTTAGTCTTTTTATATGAGGTGTGCATGAGGCACACGAGGCATAAGCCTCTAGCACGCCTCATGAAAAAGCACATGAGGCATATGCCTCAGAGGTATTAGCGCTTCTGGCATATGCCTCATGAAAAAGCACATGGACACACTAGGAAACATATATAAATCTTAAACAATATATAGGGACAAATTGGAAATTGTTGAAAATAATGGAAGAAGTAAAATGTGTATTTAAATATACAAACCCATAACACCTGTTTTTATTTTTGAAGTTTAGCTAGAGAGTTACTGGGCCCAAGGCCCATTAGTTTACATTTTGTTTAAGTGTTTACCTGTGTTTTAGAATAGACGACTTACTAAGGGTATACTTGTCATTGTATCCATTTTTAATTACGAGTATATAAGATAGTTAAAGGGGTGTCCAAATTAGATATTTTGGCTTCTCCCCATTCTCTTCAACCTTTCTCTTCTTCTCTTCTCTGCTCAAATTTTTCCTTTCTTCTTTTTATCACAAATTCAAACTGGATCAGATTTATTGCACTTTCAACTTGGTACCAGAGCAACTTTAGGGATTTTCTGAACTGTTTCATCATGCAACCCTAGATCAGCCGACTGCATGATGAGTTAAAGACCTGATCAAGGACTTTAAGAGTGCCCGGTTTTTGGATTTTTTCTTCTTTTGTGGATCTAGAATACCTTGTAGCAGGTCTAGGGTTTATCACCAAAATCAGGAAGAACTGGAGAAAGGGAAAGAATTCTGATTGCAGGACTCTTCAACCTTGACCTAGGAAGTGGCACACCATTTTTTTTTTTTACGTTTCTAGATGTTTTTTGAAGAGGATGGTTCAAGTCCCCGATTTTCTAGAGGTCTTTGGTGGGAGCGGCAACCTCTTCTCTTCCTTCTACCTACTACCACGGAGAAGGGAATCTTGGTGGGAGGGGTTTCTAGGATACTTGGAAGCTGTTTGAGGTTTCTAAAGGGGATAATTTTTTTTTTTCATCTCCAATTGATTTCCTGACCTGTTATGGAGTTGAATACAAATCTACAAGTGAATTGAAGCCAAGTGGAGGAGGTGGTAGTGGCCCCTTCGGGGCAGGGGCCATCACTATAGTCAAGTTGGATAGTACAAACTACTTAGAATGGTCACAATCTGCAATGATGGTCATTGGAGCTCATGGAAAATTGGGGTATGTCACTAGTGAAGAGAAGAAACCCGAGACTAACTACTCCCATTGGGTATAGGAGAACTACATAATAATGACCTGGTTGTGCAATTCCATGTTACCCCATATAAGTAAGAACTTTCTATGAGCTAACACAACTAAGGAGATTTGGGATGGAGTAGCAAAAACTTATTCACAAAGTGACAATTGTGCTAGAGCCTACCAGTTGAGAAACGAGGTGATTGCTACTAGGCAGGGAGATAAGTCTGTTGCAATTTATTTTTTAGCCCTCAAAACCTTATGCCAGGAAATAGATCATTTGGAGACCATGGTTTGAGAAAGTAGCAAAGATGCAACAACTTATAAGAAGCTAGTAGAGAATAGGGTATTTGAGTTTTAGCAAGACTCAACCCTGAATATGACATTGCATGATAGCATATTCTTTCCCAAGACAGTGTAACTCTCTCTCAGCCATATGCTTTTGTGTCTAGAGAGGAGAGTAGTAAGAATGTGATGATGAGAAACCCACGCCTTGAGGACAAGAATGACTCATTTTGTGACTACTGTTAAAAACCCATGCATACTAGAGATACCTACTAGAAGCTTTACCCATACCTTATACTGAGTCGGCTCAAAAAGAAGAAGGGAAATGTGAATATGGCAATGATTGGTGATTTATCAGGACCACTTACTACTTCTCTAGAGTCTGTTGCAGCAACTACAGTTAGGGCCAAGTTAGAGAGATATGAGCAATTTCTGAGTTAAGGGATACAACCAGTTGTAGCTCATCATCAGGTGGATCAGAAGGTAGTTATTCTACTTCGCTTGCACATATAGGTAGTTCACATGCCACTACAAGTAAGGGGGCACCTCCCATCAAAAGCCTCAAAACATATGACCAATGTTTCCACTATCTTTTCCTCATACCACCTTTGCTTTGGTACAGATAGAGGTTCCACAAATGATGGATCACATGTTCCCATTGCTAGGAAAGGGTCTGTCAAGATAACCGATACGATTACCTTGCCTTTTGTACTTCATGTCCCTATACTGAGCACTAATCTTTCATCTGTTAGTAGTTTGACAAAGAATTTGAATTTTTCAGTGATTTTTTCTCCTGGTCATTATGTTTTGCAGGATTTGGAACCAAAGAGGACGATTAGGAGTGGTTGTGAAGTGAATGGAATCTATTTTCTTGATGTGCTTCCCAATCATCAAAGTTATCATGTCAATAGGGATAATGAGTCAGAGTTAGTGGGTCGAATTATGCTTTGGCTCATAAGGGAGAAAGTTTCTTTAGGGGAAGTCTGCTTGCCATTTATTGCTTCAGAAGAGTAGTTAGATGATGTTTTGACCGAAGGTGTTCTAAAAGGAAAGCCAACACACTATATAAGCAACCTCGGTATGATTGACATCTATGCTCAGCTTGAGGGGAATGTAGAGAGACTAGGCCGAATGGGCCCTAATATTTCTTTTATGTTTAAGTAATGTTATATCCATTTTAAGTTACTGCTTTGCTAGCCGCCCACTTAAAGGGCAGACTTGTAATTAGCATTATTAATTTAGTTAAATAAAAGATTAGTGAAGGGAGAAAGAGAACCATCAAACTCTTTTCTTTCTCTTCTTCTATTCTGCTATAACCTTTCTTTCTCTCACTTTTTCTTATTTCTTTTATCAGTTTTATATCCGATTTGAAGGACAAACTCACATCTTGGTATAAGTGCTATAACCCTATCGCTCGAAAGACGTTTGTTTGTTCTAATGTCACTTTTTTTTAGTCAATGTCATTCTTCTCAAGTCTTGAATCCTTATGTACCTTCCTCTTCTAGTTGATGATCCCATTCCGGTTGTTCCTATTGTGATTGAGCATTCTCCTCCAATGCAAATTCATACTGAACAACCACCGATCCGACATGTGTATACTCATCAATAGACACCGGCACCTCCTCCAGCTACTATCTCATCAACAGATCCTACAGTGGCTCCTACCCCAGTGTTGCCTACTCCTTCTGAACTTGATCTTCCCATTGTGTTGTGGAAAGGTAAATGTAGTTATACTTTACATCCCATATCCAATTATGTTTCTATCTCTCACATTTCCACTTCACATCGCCAGTTTGTTTCTCTGTTGTCCTCTATATTTATACCTAGGGATGTCTAGGATGATCTTACATCAACAAGGTGGTGTCAACCTATGAAGGAGGGACTCTCTGCACTTCAACACAATCACATGTAGGAGCTCACCACTCTTCCTCTAGGTAAGCATGTTGTAGGTTGTAAATGGGTGTATATTATTAAATATTTGACAAATGGTAGTGTGGAGTCGTTAAAAGCCCAACTGGTTGCTAAGGGTTATTCTCAGTTATATGGAATGGATTATGTGGAAACCATCTCTCCCGCAGCCAATATTGGTTCAATTCATGTATTGATTTCATTAGGGGTTATATACAATTGGCCATTGATTCAACTTGACATTAAAAATGCCATCTTCAATGGTGATCTTCTTGAGGAAGTTTACATGGAGCAACTACCAAAGTTTGATGCTTAGGGGGGGGATGGTAAGGTGTGTAAGCTCAAGAAGGAAATTTATGGGCTAAAATAGTCTCCTTGTGTGTGGTTTGGTAAGTTAAGTGAAGTAGTTAAAAACTTTGGAATGAAACAATATCAAGTTGACCACTCGGTGTTCAACTATAATTCTGAAGCTAGGAAGATTTTACTAGTGGTTTATGTGGATGACATAGTCCTAACTAGTAGTGACAGACTGGGGATTGATAGGCAAAAGGCTTTTCTACAAGATCATATCCAAACAAAAGATCTTGGTAAGTTGAAGTATTTCTTGAACCCCATGGAACCAAATGTTGAGCAATGATGCGGGTACTGAAATGTTTGATGATCCTGAAAGATATAGACGGTTAGTGGGAAAGCTGAACTACCTAACCATTACCAGACCAGATATATCCTTTGTTGTCAATATGGTGATCCAATTTATGCAAAACCCCGGAGTCCCTCACTGGGATGTGGTTCTTAGATTTGTGTGGTATTTGAAGGGAGCTCTAGGTCGTGGGTTTTTGTACAAGGCAGGAGAAAGTCTTGAAATAGTTGGGTATACAAATGCATATTGGGAAGGTTCAGTGTCTAACAAGAGATCCACTACAAGTTATTGCACATTTCTTGGAAGAAATCTGGTGACATAGAAGAGTAAGAAAATTGTTGTGGCATGGAGTAGTGTGTACTAAACACAAGGCCATGGCACATACTACATGTGAGTTAGTATGGTTGAAAAATCTTCTGAAGGAAGTTGGATCATCGATGAGCAAACCTATGAGATTGTACTGTGACAACCAAGCTGCAACCCACATCTCATCTAACCCAGTTTTTCATGAGAGGACAAAACACATAGAGGTTGGTTGCCATTTTGTAAGGGAGAAAGTCCTCACAGGAGTGATAAGCACAAGGCATGTGAGTTTAGGTGATCAGTGAGCAAACTTGTTTATAAAAGGGCTAAGTTCAGGAAGAGTCAACTATATATGTAACAAGCTGGGATTATATGACATATATTCTCCAGCTTGAGGGGGAGTGTTAAGTCAGCTGAGTAGGGGTAGCTTTGTCTTTTCATTCTATTTTAAGTTGTGCTTTGTCAATTGTATTTTGTTTTAAGTTACATGTCCCATACTTAAGTAGGAGCATATTAGACATTGTAAACTTCTATCTTTCCAAATTAAAATTCAATTGATAAATTATAGGGATTATATCAATTTCAATTTTTTCCTTTTCCATTTAGCAATTATTTAAGTGGACGTGTTCAGCAGACAGAATTTATAGTTTACCAACAGCATGGCCTGTGATGGAAAGACTTAAGCAATAAAGGATATCCTACCTTAACTACTAATTCTCCAATTGCCCAACAAGCATTATTTGCTACTGAAACAAATTCTCTCATCTCTTGAGTACGCTGTGCAGAGATTACGATGGTCAGACTACAAAGAAAAGTTGTATCCAAACAGAAATAAAGAATGAATGAAAAGGATTCATACTTACCAGTTGATCAGCTGCAACATTAAGAAATTCTGGCAAACGAGGACGCAAATGAACAGGACAAACCTGGCAATAAAACATGATAGAACAAAGATAAACTACACATGAACAAACAAATCAAGCTAACAAAACCATGAGACCATTATATAAGAAATCATCAAATGTTCTAACACACCCTTGTAAGGTCCCCAAGAAGAGCAAGGGAACTTTGACGAACATCAGAAGCATCATCCATGCAGCATTGAAGAAGCAGGTCCCTTAAGTTGCTTTGCGCAACCTAAAAAAGAAGGCTGCATCAGAATGCATGACAAATTCTTTGTTGTAAAGGTAAAAGAAAATCACAAACCATAAAGCAACTTTACCTTGTAGGTAAAAATTATTTATTAACAGAATAATGAATTTGAGAATTTATGAACTGGATAAAGGCATAGCCCAGGACTACATATTCAAGCCTAAAATGGTAAACAAAATATCTGGAAGTGATTTTAATTTTTAAGTATCTTCCTAAACTGTGCACAGACTCAAATCTTAATTAAAAGAGAGCCAATGGATGGACTGTAGATTCTACAGTATGCCTTCAACCAATATCATCTGTTATTCTACCAGTTCAAACAAGAGAGAGCACAAGAGTTTAGGGGTGGCAATAGAATAGATCAACCCCCACTCCCAAAGAGCCTTTTTTATATTAAAATATGTATAATTACAGGAAAGCCATTACAGGGCTGACAGAAGGAAAATAAGAAAGAATAAGAGAAAGATACAAGATACAACAGGGACTATTATAATACAATACACCAAAACTCTCCACACTCCCCCTCAAACTCTCCACATAAACATCTATATTCAATTAATAAAGCCCGCTGCCTAAGGTAAAAGCAAATTCCTTCCATAACCATCATTATATCATCTTCAAGTTAATTGCCTTAAAACACTTGGGCACCTATACTCTCCCATTGGATCAACCATCAAAGATCATCCATAAACAATGTCAGTCAGTTCACTCTATCCTCAGCCAAACTATACAAGGCACTTACATAGGGTCTCTGTGGCACCAGATAGCGAAAGATACCTCAAGTTTCAGTAGAGTACAGGGAGACTTAATTCACTTTCAAGGTCATAAGTTTCTGATTTTTCCCTTGAAAATGATATAAATGAACTAGCTAAACAAGACAATGTGTTTTCTATAGCTATTTATCAAAAAACAAAAAAAGTATTTTTTACAGCTGCTGTGCAATTGTGATTTTACCTAAGACTTAATTTACTTTCAAGGTCATAAAATTCTGATTTTTCTTTTTTGAATGAAATAAAGTTCTTATTTTTCCCTTGAAAATGATATCAATAAACTAGATAAGCTAGACAATGTGTTTCTTACATTTTTCTTTTTTGAATGAAATAAAGTTTGTATTTTTCCCTTGAAAATGATACTAATAAACTATCTAAGCTAGACACTGTGTTTCCTACAGCTGGTGTGGAATTTTGATTTTACCTAAGAAAGGAGAAAATAGAGATTGATAAATACAAACAAGTTGTGATCATTCATGGAGAGAGAGAGACGAGAGAGAGAGAGAGAGAAGAGAAGAGAGAAAAGAGGAGAAGAGGAAGATATGATTGAGAGACACGAACAAAAAAACTATTCTGGCTGCCGCCAGTTTAGTTGTTTATATTAACTTAATATAAAAGGAATGGGAGATTACAAGTATGCCCCTGGTGGCACTCCCTAGTAACAAACCAATAAGAAAGAAAGAAACTATCTGGCTGACAGCATCTTAAGCTGACAGCACACTAACAGCAACTGTAAAATAACAGTTAAATAATCCTCACAACACTCCCCCTCAAATTGGGCTGAATATGTCTATCATGCCCAGCTTGTCACACAACTCATTGTGCCGCGAGTATGGAAGTCCTTTTGTGAGAACATCAGCGAGTTGTTCCTTGGAGTTGACATAAGGGATGCAAATTTCCCTTTTTTCCAATTTTTCCCTTATGAAGTGTTTGTCCACCTCAATGTGCTTGGTCCTCTCATGTAGGACAGGGTTGCTAGCGACGTTTTATGGCTGCCTTGTTGTCACAGTAAAGAGACATAGGATTATGAACAACAACTCCAAGCTCCCCTAGAAGATTTTTTAGCCAAAGGACTTTAGCCACCCCATGTGCCATAGCTCTATATTCAGCTTCAGCACTTGACCTTGCGACCACACTTTGTTTCTTGCTTTTCCAAGTCACTAGGTTTCCTCCCACAAATATGCAATACCCATTGTGGACTTTCTATCATCCACAGCACCTGCCCAATCAGCATCTGTAAAGACTTCCATCTTTAGGTGATTATATTTACTAAATAGTAGACCTGTTTCGGGATACTTTTTTAAGTATCTAAGAACTATCTTTGCTGCCTCCATGTGTGGTTTCTTAGGAGAGTGCATGAATTGGCTTAGAACCCCAACTGAATAGGCAATGTCTGGACGGGTCATGGACAAATAAATCAACTTTCCGACTAACCTTTGGAACTGTTTCACATCTTTCAGAGGTTCACCATCACATTCACCCAACATGTGATCAACATCCACGAGAGTATCTACTGGCCTTGCGCCTAATTTTCCTGTGTCTTGTAATAGATCAAGGGTGTATTTCCTTTGAGAAATGAAGATACCTCTTTCTGAGCGGGCAACTTCAATTCAAAGGAAATACTTCAGGGGACCTAAATCTTTCACTTCAAATTTAGATGCAAGGAATTGTTTCAATTTTTGTATTTCTGAACTCCAATTTCCTGTAATGATGATATCATCCACATACACTATCAATACAACAACCTGTTCCTGACATCTCTTCACAAAGAGTGTGTGATCAGACTGACATTGTTTGAAGCCTACCTGCTGAACTGCCATGTGAAACTTACTGAACCAAGCTCTAGGAGATTGTTTTAAACCATAAAGAGACTTTCTCAGCTTGCATACCTTATTTTCACTTCCCTTGGCACAGAATCCAAGGGGTTGAACCATGTATACTTCCTCCTCTAGGTCACCATTTAAAAAAGCATTCTTTATGTCCAGTTGATGCAATTCCTAGTCAAGGTTAGCAGCTAATGACAAGAGGACCCTAATTGAGTTCATCTTAAGTACTGGAGTAAAAGTCTCATCATAGTCAACCCTGTACACTTGAGTGTACCCTTTGGCTACTAATCTTGCTTTGTACCTTTCAACTGTCTCGTTTGCCTTGTGTTTAACGGTAAACACCCACTTACACCCCACTAGGTCTTTCCCCCTTGGAAGATCCACCAATTCCCAAGTTTGATTTTTATGAAGGGCATTAATCTCCTCCTTCATAGCATCTGTCCATTCAGGGCATTTTAAGGCTTCTACAACATTTCTGGGAACAGGGATGCAATCAACTGCAGATAGAAAGGATCGGTATGAGGGGGAAATGTGATCATAGGAGACATACTGGGTAATGGGGTGTTTGGTAGTGCATGACCTGACTCCCTTTCTTTGAGCAATAGGAATGTCAAGGTCATCCACAATAGGAGTAGGAGTATCAGTAGGTGCAATAGGGTTTGGACTTACCTCCTGGGAGTCTAACAGTGTTGGTTGCTCAATGCTTGGCTGCTCCACATCTCTATCACATTGTTGATCTCTACGGTGTGTACATTGGAAAACACAAAAGGGAGCAAGGTCCGGAATAGAAGGAAGAGAGACTTGGCGGACCTGAACCTGCTTCTCCTCTTCCACACTACTACTCTCCCCTTGAGGAGAAGTAGGGAAAGATGGTTCAGACTCAAAGAAGGACACATCCATAGACACAAAAAACTTATGACTAACGGGATCAAAGCACCAATACCCTTTTTGAGATGAAGGATACCCCAGAAAGATACAAGGAATGGACCGAGGGTCTAACTTACCTCAAGATAGAGACAAATCATGGACAAAGGCACGACAACCAAAAACTCTCATGAGAATGGAAAATAAAGGGGACTGAGGGAACAACAACTGATGAGGGGCCATGCAGTTCAGCACTCTGGAGGGCATGCGATTGATGACATAAGCAACTGCAAGTATAGCATCCATCCAAAACCTTTTTGGAACATTCATGTGTAACATCATCCCGCGAGCTACCTCAAGGAGGTGTCTATTTTTTCTTTCTGCAACACCATTTTGTTGTAGTATTCTTGCGCATGAGCTTCTATGAATAGATCCGTGGGAGGCAAAGAACTCATTKAGCTCACCATGGAAATATTCTTTTGCATTGTCTGATTGGAAGATTTGTATTTCAACATGGAATTGCGTAAATACCATCCTCTGGAAGTCTTTCACAATCTTTGGAATTTCGTCTCTACTACGCATAGGGAATACCCATGTATAGCGAGAGAAGTCATCGATCAATGTGATAAAGTACTTGTATCCGCCCTCAGATATTATAGTAGTAGGCCCCCATACATCAGAATACACAACATGAAAATGAACACTTGATCTTTTATTATTTGAGTGAAAAGATGATCTACATTGTTTGCTCAACTAACACGTTTGACACTGGAACTCTGACACTGAACATGACTTAAATAAAACCGGATACAAAGACTTTACTATTTCAAAAGAAACATGACCTAATCGACTATGCCACAAAAAAAATTGACTTATTTGATTGACTATATGACTCTGAGGATGACATCGAGAGACCAGCTTTGTTGTCGAGAACGTAGAGACCATCCACTAGGCTCCCTCTACCAACCGTCCTCCTAGAAGTTAGATCCTTAAAAACACATGGACCAGGAAAAAAGGTTACACTACATTTTAAAGAGTTTGTGATACTACTAATTGAAAGATAATTTATAGGAAGTTGAGGGACATGCAATACACAATTCAGGTTAAGGCCATAGGGAAGAGATATTGATCCTTGGCCTGCAATGGAGGAGAATGATCCATCTACAAGCCTCACTTTATCCCTTCCTGACAAAAGGCTATAAGTCTGAAACAAGTTTGGCTTGCCGGTCATGTGGTTAGAGGCCCCTGAGTCAATGATCCAAGGGGAATCAGTGGTAGTAGTGACATGGAATGCAGAAGCCGCATTACCTGATGTAGATGCAAATGAAGTAGGAGTACCAGCGACTGAACTATCCATTTGTCGCAAAGCCCTACCATATGACTCCAAGTGATCTCTGAAGGAATTCATGATATCTTCCTTGGGGTCAGAATTAGTAAGGTGGTCCCGGGTAGTACCAACAACCTGAGTATCTTGGGTTGCTACATGTGTTGCATTATGTGTTGTGTTCGTCTTCTTCTGACCTTGCCCTTTACCCTGTTCTTGGTTCTCCACTGCCCACTTGGGTTTCCCGTGAATGTCCCAATATGTGTCACGTGTATGTTGTGAGCACCGATAGTGGGTACAAAACAACTTGTCTTTATCATCAGCCTTCTTGGTGTCACTTTTCTTCCCCATGTTATTACTCATTGCAGTCAATGCAACTTGTTGCTCCCCCTCGGTTGTAACCATCACACTCCGCCTACTTTCTTCAAATTGAACAAGGGCATATACCTCGTGAACCGACGACAACTCT